GCCATTAATGTCTGAACCGCTGGCAACAAAAGTGAGTACACCCCTAAGTGAAAATGTCCAAATTGGGCCCAATTAGCCATTTTCCCTCCCGGTGTCATGTGACTCCTTAGCGTTACAAGGTCTCAGGTGTGAATGGGGAGCAGGTGTGTTAAATTTGGTTTTAATCGCTCTCTCTCATACTGGTCACTGGAAGTTCAACATGGCACCTCATGGCAAAGAACTCTCTGAGAATCTGAAAAAATTAATTGTTGCCCTACATAAAGATGGCCTAGGTTATAAGAAGATTGCCAAGACCCTGAAACTGAGCTGCAGCACGGTGGCCAAGACCATATAGCATTTAACAGGACAGGTTCCACTCAGAACAGGCCTCGCCATGGTTGACCAAAGAATCTGAGTGCATGTGCTCAGCGTCATATCCAGAGGTTGACTTTGGCAAATAGACGTATGAGTGCTCCCAGCATTGCTACAGAGGTTGAAGGGTTGGGGGGTCAGCCTGTCAGTGATCAGACCATACGCCGCACACTGCATCAAATTGGTGTACATGGCTGTCATCCCAGAAGGAAGCTTCTTCTGAAGATGATGCACAAGAAAGCCCACAAACAGTTTGCTGAACACAAGCAGACTAAGGACATGGATTACTGGAACCATATCCTGTGGTCTGATGAGACCAAGATAAACTGATTTGGTTCAGATGATGTCAAGCGTGTGTGGCAGCAACCAGTTGAGGAGTACAAAGACAAATGTGTCTTGCCTACAGTCCAGCATGGTGGTGGGACGTGGGAGTGTCATGGTCTGGGGCTGCATGGGTGCTGCAAGCACTTGGCAGCTACAGTTCATTGAGAGAACCATGGCCAAACATGTCTCCAGACCTAAACCCTATTGAGCATCTGTGGGGCATCCTCAAACAAAAGGTGGAGGAGCACAAGGTCTCTAACATCCACCAGCTCCATGATATCATCATGGAGGAGTAGAAGAGGACTCCAGTGGCAACATGTGAAGCTCTGGTGAACTCAATGCCCAAGAGGGTTAAGGCAGTGCTGGAAAATAATGGTGGCCACACACAAAATATTGAAACTTTGGGCCCAATTTGGCCATTTTCACTTAGGGGTGTACTCACTTTTGTTGCCAGCGGTTTAGACATTAATGGCTGTGTGTTGAGTTATTTTGAGGGGACAGCAAATTTACACTATTACACAAGCTGTACACTCACTACTTTACATTGTAGCAAAGTGTCCTTTCTTCAGTGTTGTCACATGAAAAGATATAATAAAATATTTACAAAATGTGAGGGGTGGACTCACTTCTGTGAGATACTGTACAGCCCACCCCTATTAGGCAGCAAGTGAACATGTACATGAAGTTAATGTGTTGAAAGCATAAACAATGGGCATCACAGTTTGTTGTGTATGGTAGCCGCAAACCGCTCAGGGTGCCCATGCGGACACGAGTCCACAGCCAAAAATGCCTACAATAGTCACTGAACTGGGCCACGGAGCAATGGAACAGGTGGCCTGGTCTAATAAATTATGTTTTCTTTTACATCATGTGGATGGCAAGGTGTGTGTGTGTCACTTACACGGGGGAGAGATGGCACCAGGATGTGCTATGGGAAGAAGACAATCTGGCGGAGGCAGAGTGATGCTTTGGGAATGCTTTTGTTCAGCTGGGAAATCTTGGGTCCTGCTATCCATGTGGATGTTACTTTGACACATACTACCTACCTAGACATTGTTGGTGACCAAGTACATCCTTTCATGGGAACAGTATTCCCTGATGGCAGTGGCCTCTTTCAGCAAGATAATGTGCCCTGCAAAAATGGTATAAGAATGTTCTGAGGAGCACAACTAGTGTTCCAAATTCTCCAGATCTCCATCCAATTGGCCATCTGTGGGATGTGCTGGAAACACAAGTCCGAAACATGGGGGCCCTACATTGCAACTTTCAGGACTTAAAAGATCTACTGACAGCTTGGTGCCAGATACCCCAGCATACCTTCAGAGGTCTGGTGACATCCTTCAACCTAAATGGTCTTTTAATCCTTGCAAGATGTTGAGCTGCAATTTAACCCCCTCCCCAAACCCCCCGAACTGCTCACCTAAAATCTAACATACAACCAGAGGAGCTGTAGAAATATCATACTGCTTTGGCACGACCACATGGATTGTGGACTGTTAGTTCCATATAAAAAATTGTGGTTCAGCAAAGAAAAAAAGGTATTGAGGAAGCTGCAGGATTGCTTCCTGAACATGTTGAAGCTGCTGCTTTCTGATCTACCGTGGAACACTTTTCATAAATGCAGGTTTGGTACTACTGTTATGGGGGGATAGGGTTGGAGAACGCACTGTGGTTGTACAGATATGTGGACAAAGGAGAGCTCTTCTTTTATGCTCATACTTGTGATGATGGGGGCATACTCAACAGATCATCCATCCAACGTATACACAGGACAACACAGAATCCATAATTCCATGGCTGCATCACACTCATTCAGCTGCCAGGTGTTTGCAGGTTGCGGATGGCTAGGTGCACATTGCTTTGCAAAATAAGAACAGCCTAAGAAACATCCATAATTACACCACCTCATCCCTAGAATCCCATAGACTCATGGGAAATGTAGTTCATAAATGTCAGGGCTCCCGGGTATGACCAGAGGTGTGTGACTGACGCAGGGAAACGCAGACTTCAGATATGTTATAAACAATACGATTTATTAACACTAACAATACAAACATAAACGCAGTGCAATACTAAACATAATACAGTGCAAACAAACCCAACCAACCACCCACAGATAACAGTACAAACAATGCGAGCGTCATCAGGCAGGCCGGGTCAATATCAATCGGGCAGGTAGGTACAGGGGGAGCAAGAGGAGAATGGTCGGGGTCACAAGCCAGGGTCAGCAGGTAGCGGGCAGCGTGGTACAGAGTGTCAGGCAGAGGGATGGTCAGGAACGAGCCGGGGTCAGAGCAGGAGAAGTCAGCAGAGGTATAGATCAGGCCGGGTCAGCAACAAGACAGGAATAGGAAGCAGGAACAGGATACAGGGCCCAGGAAAAACATACACCAAGGCAGAGTCTGCAGGTCTGGCCATCCCTTAAATACACCAGCATAAGCAGTTTCAGGTGTTTTGCTGGCTGCAAGGTTGAGTCTCTGATTGCTGGGAGCGCCCGCTGGCCAGCCCTGGTACTGCAGCTCATAAGGCAGGTGAGTCCCACCATTGCTGGCCAGTCCATTCCTGACAGTACCCCCCCCCCTCAAGGAGCGGCCTCAGGACGCTCCAAATAGTCCTAGCTGGGCAAAATGTTCCACCGCCCGGGTCTGGTAACTGGCGGGATATCAAAGACTGGCCCACCGGCAGGACTCCGGGCAGCGGCACAGGACTCCGGGCAGCGGCACACCGGGAAGAGGCACACCGGGCAGGACTCCGGGCAGCGGCACATCGGGCACATCGGGCAGAGGCACATGGGCAGGACTCCGGGCAGAGGCACATCGGGCTGGACTCCGGGCAGAGGCACATCGGGCTGGACTCCGGGCAGAGGCACATCGGGCTGGACTCCGGGCAGAGGCACATCGGGCAGGACTCCGGGCAGAGGCACATCGGGCAGGACTCCGGGCAGAGGCACATCGGGCATCACCAGGCGCAGCAGGCACATCGGATGCCAACCAGGCGGAGCAGCAGGCACCGGGCCACCAGGCGGGTAGCAGCAGGCACCGGGCCACCAGGCGGAGCAGCAGGCACCGGGCCACCAGGCGGAGCAGCAGCACCGGGCCACCAGGCGGAGCAGCAGGCACCGGGCCCCCAGGCGGAGCAGCAGGCACCGGGCCCCCAGGCGGAGCAGCAGGCAGGCCCCCCAGCCCCCAGGCGGGGCGACAGGCATCGGGCCCCCAGGCGGGGCGACAGGCATTGGGCCCCCAGGCGGAGCGGCGGGCGCCGGACCCCCAGGCGGAGCGACAGGTCTCGGGCCCCCAGGCGGAGCGGCGGGCGCCGGACCCCCAGGCCCCCAAGGCGGAGCGACAGGTCTCAGGCCCCCAGGCGGAGCGGCGGGCGCTGGACCCCCAGGCGGAGCGGCGGGCGCCGGACCCCAGGCGGAGCGGTCAGCGACACAGGTCTCAGGCCCCCCAGGCGGAGCGGCGGGCACCGAGGTCACCAGGCACGACAGTGGGCCTCCGAGTCAACGGGCAAGACTGCGGGCACCGAGTCAACTGGCAAGACTGCGGGCACCGAGCCAACTGGCGGAACAGCGGGCCTTCAAGTCGTCTGGCAAGACTGCGGGCACCGAGTCGTCTGGCAAGACTGCGGGCACCGAGTCGTCTGGCAAGACTACGGGCACCGAGTCGTCTGGCAAGACTGCGGGCACCGAGTCGTCTGGCAAGACTGCGGGCACCGAGTCGTCTGGCGGAACAGCGGGCATCGAGTCAACTGGCGGAACAGCGGGCACCGAGTCGTCTGGCAAGACTGCGGGCACCGAGTCGTCTGGCAAGACTGCGGGCACCGAGTCGTCTGGCAAGACTGCGGGCACCGAGTCGTCTGGCGGAACAGCGGGCATCAAGTCAACTGGCGGAACAGCGGGCACCGAGTCGCCCTGGCAAGACTGCGGGCACCGAGTCGTCTGGCAAGACTGCGGGCACCGAGTCGTCTGGCAAGACTGTGGGCACCGAGTCGTCTGGCAAGACTGCGGGCACCGAGTCGTCTGGCGGAAGACTGCGGGCATCGAGTCAACTGGCGGGACAGCGGGCACCGAGTCGTCTGGCAAGACTGCGGGCACCGAGTCGTCTGGCAAGACTGCGGGCACCGAGTCGTCTGGCAAGACTGCGGGCACCGAGTCGTCTGGCGGAACAGCGGGCATCGAGTCAACTGGCACTGCGGGCACCGAGTCGTCTGGCAAGACTGCGGGCACCGAGTCGTCTGGCAAGACTGCGGGCACCGAGTCAACTGGCGGAACAGCGGGCATTGAGTCAACTGGCGGAACAGCGGGCACCGAGTCGTCTGGCAAGACTGCGGGCACCGAGTCGTCTGGCAAGACTGCGGGCACCGAGTCGTCTGGCGGAAACAGCGGGCATCGAGTCAAATGGCGGAACAGCGGGCACCGAGGCAAGACTCAAATCGTCTGGCAAGACTGCGGGCACCGAGTCGTCTGGCAAGACTGCGGGCACCGAGTCGTCTGGCGGAACAGCGGGCATCGAGTCAACTGGCGGAACAGCGGGCACCGAGTCGTCTGGCAAGACTGCGGGCACCGAGTCGTCTGGCAAGACTGCGGGCACCGAGTCGTCTGGCATTGGATCGTCTGGCTCGACAGCGGGCATCGGGTCACCAGGTATGACAGCGGGCACTGGGTCACCAGGCATCAGGTCATTTGGCTCGCCAGCGGGCACCGCGTCATCTGGCAAGGCAGTAGGCACCGAGTCACCAGGTACGACAGCGGGCTCTGAGTCAATTGGCACGACAGCGGGCACCGGATCAGGTACCGGATCATCTGGATCAACAGCGGGCATCGAGTCAACTGGCCTAATAGGATCATCAGGCTGGATCAGTTCATTATGCTGGGTAGAAGCATCCGGCTGAGTAGAGGCATCCGGCTGAGTAGAGGCTTCAGGCTGAGTAGAGGCTTCAGGCTGAGTAGAGGCTTCAGGCTGAGTGGAGGCTTCAGGCTGAGTGGAGGCATCAGGCTGAGTGGAGGCATCAGGCTGAAGAGAGGCATCAGGCTGAAGAGAGGCATCAGGCTGAACCACGGAAGGCAGGTTCTCGGACGGCAGGCTGACCAATTTGGATACTGGCAGGATGGTACTGGTTGGAAAGAATTTTCGCTTTTTTTGGTTTTAACTACTGGGGCACTGCAAGTAAACGCAGGTCTGCAAATGAATGGAGCAGCTGGAGACAGAGAAGAGCTGGAGGATGGAACAGTCGCTACAGAGGGCTTCTTTACAGGGTTAAAGGCAGGATAGGTGCAGCGAGTGGGAACAGGGTACTGACATGCGGTAGATAGCCAAGTATACTGGGCTGTAACTGGAGGAGTTGTTGGGAATACAGGAGTAGAGCTTTGAGGAAATAGATTAGAAGCAGGACTGGGTCTTTTATAAGCTGACTGAGGCTGGGTGTAACAAATCTGTCCATGTCTGCAGTATGGGTTGAACAAAGCTGAGCTTACACAAAGCCTGTCTGACCAAAGACTGCACTGCGTTTATACAATCTCTTAGTGTCTGTGGTGAACATGTGGAATAACGCTCCAGAAAGTAACCCACATCATCCTCTAATAACCATACCAGGGACTCTACCTGGTCTGCACTAAATGGTGGCAAAAATTCATCCCTGCATTCGGGGGTACCAGATGAAACCAACTCAGCACAAACCTCAATCAATGGCTGCACCTCAGAGAACTCTGTGCCCTGATCTACTAGAACATGAGCGAGCCGTATACATTCTAGCAGTTCATCCCGGGTATACTCCTTCAGAGTTTGATAAGCATACTCCCTGTCATCAAACACTAGCAGATATAAATACGCAACCTCATCCAGATCCATCCTTCCCATCAACAAACCAAGATGGCTTCCCTGTGCAGCCACTTCTGGTCAGGATTGGCCTTGGTGTAATGTCAGGGCTCCCGGGTATGACCAGAGGTGTGTGACTGACGCAGGGAAAACTCAGACTTCAGATATGTTATAAACAATACGATTTATTAACACTAACAATACAAACATAAACGCAGTGCAATACTAAACATAATACAGTGCAAACAAACCCAACCAACCACCCACAGATAACAGTACAAACAATGCGAGCGTCGTCAGGCAGGCCGGGTCAATATCAATCGGGCAGGTAGGTACAGGGGGAGCAAGCGGAGAATGGTCGGGTCACAAGCCAGGGTCAGCAGGTAGCGGGCAGCGTGGTACAGAGTGTCAGGCAGAGGGATGGTCAGGAACGAGCCGGGGTCAGAGCAGGAGAAGTCAGCAGAGGTATAGATCAGGCCGGGTCAGCAACAAGACAGGAACAGGAATAGGAACAGGAAGCAGGAACAGGATACAGGGCCCAGGAAAAACATACACCAAGGCAGAGTCTGCAGGTCTGGCCATCCCTTAAATACACCAGCATAAGCAGTTTCAGGTGTTTTGCTGGCTGCAAGGTTGAGTCTCTGATTGCTGGGAGCACCCGCTGGCCAGCCCTGGTACTGCAGCTCATAAGGCAGGTGAGTCCCACCATTGCTGGCCAGTCCATTCCTGACAATAATATCAGGTCAGAAGTGCACAGATTGGTTTTTATCCTTCCACCGACGTCTATGGATTTTTATTGAGTGGTGAGTGATGACGCCACAAGATTATAATAAAACTTTTTCTACCAAAGAAAGTAAATTATTTATTCACTGCAGGGATTTTACTCAGCATACAGTGCCTTGAAAAAGTATTCCCCATGAAATTTTCCACATTTTGTCATGTTACAACCAAAAACGTAAATGTATTTTATTGGGATTTTATATGATAGACCAACACAAAGTGGCACATAATTGTGAAGTGGAAGGAAAATGATAAATGGTTTTCAAAATTTTATATAGATATCTGAAAAGTGTGTGGCATACATTTGTATCCAGCCCCCTTTACTCTGATACCCCTAACTAAAATCTAGTGGAACCAATTGCCTTCAGAAGTCACCTAATTAGTAAATAGAGTCCACCTGTGTGTAATTTAATCTCAGTATAAATACAGCTGTTCTGTGAAGCCCTCAGAGGTTTGTTAGAGAACACTAGTAAACGAACAGTATCATGAAGGCCAAGAAACGCATCAGACAGGTCAAGGATAAAGTTGTGGGTAGCAAGGTTCCTTTTTACCATATTGCTATTTGTTATTATGTAAAAGAAGAAGTATACTAATTAATTTGATAGTATAAAATAGTGTGGCACTTATTTCAATAAATCTTAAAAATTAAATTATATATATCACTTAAAACGAAAAAAATAAATATTAAGTGTATATGTGTATTCTTATCAGCAAAAGTCATAAATAAAAAGTAAATGAAGATATATATCCACCAACAGATTGATAATTAATCCATATAGACCATGCTCTCAGGTATTAGCTCATATATAGGACAATAACTGATTCGAATGTTGGATGTTATAAAATATCCAGCACCTGAATACTTATCCACATGTGCTAGATCAATTAAAAATTAAATGAATCAAGATGCAACAGGACAAAAATGAAGGCTATACCCTACTGGGTATTGCTTCCTAAGTTTCAGTGCTGTGAATTATCCAAAATAGTGTATAACTAAGTAATAATAATGTTGTACCCTACTGGATATAGATCACAAAACCACAGTGCTGCAAAAAAAAAACTTAACATACCCTACTGAGTATTGCTCCCAAATAAAATGCTGCACAACATTCAATAGTGAAAAAAAATAAATATATCACATACAGTAATAGTGTTATAATGCTGAACAAAGAGAATTAATAATGAAAGAATGTCCACTCAAAATAGATACAGAGTCCAGTACTACAGGATAAAGAACACAGTTCTCAAACAATATGTGCAATAGAAGTAATTCTGTTCGTGACTTCACTCCATATTTATTCAGTGCTCCACTACAGTGCAATATAGCAGCTCACCTTAATTTTTGACTCATACTTTCATATAGGTCATACTTCGCATAAGCAGTCCACATCCCATGTTCAGCTTTTCCTCCACATGGTGTTAAATGTTTGGTACAATCCCCGGTCATCTGTAGGCAGTTATATGCAAAATAAGATTCACCATAGTGTAGCAATTCTTACATTTTTTTTAATGAAATGAAATTACACTTACATTTATAGAACACTAATAAACGCGTGTTACTGTGCTTTTGTGTGTTTTCCAAGGTTCACAGAGCTCACAGTAAGCTCAACTTCCGGCCACGACCAGAAATGACGTCACCTGGCTCCTCCCGACGCGTTGCGTCACCGAACACATGACTTTACCCCTGATGAATAGATTAGTATCTGAGAGTATAGGCTATTTGGATTAATTATCAGTCTGTTGGTGGATATATATTTTCATTTACTTCTTTATTTATCTTTTTTTCTGATAAGAATACAAATATACAATTACTATTTATTTTTTTTAATTTTAAAGACGTTGTAACCCGAAAAAAATAAAAGGCTTCTGTTCCTTTAAAGCAGGATAAATACTACAGCGCTTCTGCAGTGTAATTTGTCCCATTCTATGTTGTAAAATACCTGCTTCATCCTGCCTGTTTCTATGTTCCCCTAGGTGTACTGACCACAATAATCATGGCTGCTGATCCATGATGCCATGGTCTGTTTATGTGCCTCTGTCATTTCACTGTGTGCTCACAGTCTTTCCCCCTCCCTCCCTGCCTGTCATTTCTGTGTTTGAGAGCCAATCTCCTCCCCACCCCAACCCTCAGCTCCTGCCTCTATTTCTGCGGCTGTACAGTAACATTTACAAATAACTGGCATCTCCTCTGTTGTATGAAGATACAAAGTACTGCGTGTCAGTTTTTAAAAAAATTATAATCTAGACACCTTCTTGCACAGTGCCACTGTGCGGTCACGTGATCGACCTCTGCTGGCTGGCTGATGTCAGAGGGGAATCTCAGACCCTCTAGCTGCTCTCTTTAGATTGGGAAGAAGAGCGGAGGAAGGTCATGTGACTTCACAGCACACCGTACAAAAAGGTATTTAGGATTATAGTTTTTAAAAAACTGAAACACAGTACTTTACAACAGTTTCATACAACAGAGGGGATGTCAGTTATTTGCAAATCTTACTTTAAAACCCCTTTTTTAAGTGATAAATATAATTTAATTTTTCATATTTCTTGAAATAAGCTCCACACAGTGTTGGCAGCTATATCTTGGAGAACAGTTTAAAACAACATGGTAATGCATAAGTAGACTCTCTTTGCTTTGTTTTTCCTATACCAATTATTTTAAATTCCCTGTAGACTACTAAAAATCAATAGATGTTGATCCCAACAAGTAATTCCACAGGATGTAAATAATTGAAAGCTCTATACTCCACCAAGCTCTATACTCCACCTAGCCTATTTTGTTTATTTATTTATTTATTACAGGTATTTATATAGCGCCATCAATTTATGCAGTGCTTCACATGTATATATTGTACATTCACATCAGTCCCTACAATCTAAGGTCCCTAACTCACATTCATTCATACACATACTAGGGCCAATTTAGACAGGATCCAATTAACCTACTAGCATGTCTTTAGAGTGTGGGAGGAAACTGGACTACCTGGAGGAAACCCATGCAGGCACAGGGAGAACATTCAAACTCCAGGCAGGTGGTCCCGTGGTTGGGATTTGAACCAATGACCTTAGTACTGCCAGGCAGAAGTGCTAATCATTTTGCCACTGTGCTGCCCGCCCATCACGCTGCTTTTCATCAGGAGCTCCCGCTCACATACCACACCAATCAGTTAGTTAACATCAACTCAAAGTCAAGAGTGGGGAAGTGTACAAGGACCCCAAATTCTCCCCATTCAGGAGCACAGT